TCCTGCAGCTTTCATGGCTTTTTTTTTTTAACAAATCTGGGCAATATTTTTTCTAATAAAGCAAAATTTTTAAAATTCATTTTCAGAAATTGAAATGAATTTTAAAAATTAAAATGAATTTTCTTACTATTCTCCAAACTGAATGATTAATTTCTCTTTGCCAAACCTTTCCATTTTGAGTCCCTGTGGCACTAATTTCTACTTGCTACTGTTACTGTGCTTATAGGAAATACAGTTTAGGGAAGTTTTATGTCCCTTTTTTGCAATTTAAGCTCATCATAAAAATCCCCTGACGTGTCACATCAGTTCAACGCACTGACCAACAACGGCGTAAAAGGCAGGATGCAGTTCTTGGAAGAAGACAAAGGCTGCAAGAACATCTCACACACACAACGCCCTCAGTCTCCCGGGGCCATCGGGAGGAATTCCATCACGGAAAGGGTGGTTAAACACTGGAAAGCGCTCCCAGGGAGGTGCAGTTACTGTCCCTGGAGGCGTTTAAGGGTGTGGCACTGAGTGCTCCGCTGGCTTGACAAGGTGATGTTCGGTCAAAGGTTGGACTCGATGATCTCAGAGGCCTTTTCCACCCTCATTGATTCTGTGACGTTCCCCAGTGCTGCCACAGCCTGATCCCGGATGGGCACCTTGGTTTTACACGCAAAAGATTTACCTGAAAAGTTTTACACCCCAGCTCTTCCAAAGCCTTACCTGCAGCCCTGCCCCTTCTCCTTCAGCTGCAAATGATCCCCCTGGATGCTCCCTGGCCCAGCCCCTCACCCTGTCGAGGGCTGCTGGTGGAGCTCAGCTACCCCAGCTGGGGTGACAGTGACCCCTGGCAGGGCCATGGCTGGCACAGGCACTCCCTGCCACCCTGCCTGGGGCATTTTAACAGAGGGATGTGCTCCAGCCTCATCACACTCACCTGTGCCATTGTAACACAGGCACATCCCACTCACCTGTGCCATTGTAACACAGGCACATCCCACTCACCTGTGCCATTGTAACACAGGCACATCCCACTCACCTGTGCCATTGTAACAGGGGACATCAGCACCACTGCACACACCTGTGTCATTATAATGGGGAAATTGGCATCATGGCTCTCACCTGGGTCATTATAATGGGGGAAATTGGCATCACTGCTCTCACCTGTGTCACTGTAACAGGGGACACCCATACCAGGCACCATGGCTCTCACTTGTGTCCCTGTGACAGGGTAAATTGGCACCATGGCTCTTACGTGTGTCACTGTGACAGGGGATACCTGTCCCAGGCACCATCACACTCACCTGTGTCACTGTGACAGGGGATACCTGTCCCAGGCACCATCACACTCACCTGTGTCACTGTAACAGCAGACCCATTCCAGAGACCATGATGCTCACTTGTGTCACTGTAACAGGGAAAATTGGCACCATGACACTCACCTGTGTCACTGTGACAGGGGAAATTGGTACCATGGGGCTCACCTGTGTCACTGTAACAGGAAATTGGTACCATGGCTCTCACTTGTGTCACTGTGACAGGGGAAATTGGCACCATGGGGCTCACCTGTGTCAGTGTAATGGGAAATTGGCACTATGGCTCTCACCTGTGTCACTGTGACAGGGTCACCTGTCCCAGGCCAACCCTGTCCTGTGCCGGTTGCCTCCCAGGCCGCCCTGAGCACTGTCCCCAGCTGTGCCCGTGTCTGATCCAGCTGTCCCACGGTGCTCCATGTGTCACCGTGCGGGGCTCAGTTCGCTCCGTGTGTCACCGTGCAGAGCCAGCTCCGTGTGTCACCGTGCGGGGTTCGCTCTGTGTGTCACCATACAGAGCTGGCTGCGTGTGTCACCGTGTGGGGCTGGCTCCGTGTGTCACCATGTGAGGCTGACTCTGTGTGTCACCTTGTGGAGCCAGCTCCGCGTGTCACCGTGAGGGGTTCACTCTGTGTGTCACCATGCCGAGCTCGCTCCGTGTGTCACCGTGCAGGGTTGAGTTCGCTCCGTGTGTCACCGTGTGGGGCTCACTCCGTGTGTCACCATGGAGTGGTGGCTCCGTGTGTCACCGTGCGGGGTTGAGTTCACTCCGTGTGTCACCATGGAGTGGTGGCTCCGTGTGTCACCGTGCGGGGTTGTTCGCTCCGTGTGTCACGGTGCATGGTTGAGTTGGCTCCATGTGTCACCATGCGGGGCTCAGTTCGCTCCACGTGTCACCGTGTGGAGCCAGCTCCATGTGTCACCGTGCAGGGTTCGCTCCGTGTGTCACCGTGCGGGGCTGACTCTGTGTGTCACTGTGCGGAGCCAGCTCTGTGTGTCACCGTGCGGGGTTCACTCCATGTGTCACCATGCAGAGCTGGCTCCGTGTGTCACCGTGGAGAGCTCGCTCCGTGTGTCACCATGCGGGGCTCACTCCGTGTGTCACCATGCAAAGCCACCTCCGCGTGTCACCGTGCGGGGCTGTTGGCTCTGTGTGTCACCGTGTGAAGCCGGCTCCGTGTGTCACCGTGCCGGGCTGGCTCCATATGTCACCGTGCGGAGCTCAGTTCGCTCCGTGTGTCACTGTGCAGGGTTCGCTCCGTGTGTCACCGTGCGGAATTGTTGGCTCTGTGTGTCACCATGCGGAATTGTTGGCTCCGTGTGTCACCGTGCGGAATAACAATTCGCTCTGTGTGTCACCGTGCAGGGTTGGCTCCGTTTGTCACCGGCCGTGTCACTTCCTCCGGGCCGGTTAAACATTGACAGGCACAGGGCGGAGGGAGGCAGAGGCCATCCCTGCGTGTCACAGTGCCAGGCACGGCCTGCGGCTGAGGGACAGCTCGGAGCAGCCTCCCTTCCCTCGCAGACAGTGTCCCCAACACCTGCGGGACGTTTCCTGGGACAGCAGGTGCGGGCTGGCCCCGGATCCTCACCTGGATCCCCTCCAGCCCCTGCGTGGGCAGCGTGAGCCGGAGCTGTCGTCAGAGGGAAGCGGTGGCAGAGCTCAGCGCCAGGGATGTGATCCAGGTAAAGCCCTGGATTTGCTTCCCGGCTGACAGAGCCGGGGATGGAAGAGAATTCAGCCCTTTTAGCCCTTTGCCCTGCTCCTGCCTCAGCAGGGAGCCTGCCCTGGGCTGGCTGGAGTGGGTTGTGGCTCTGTCTGCTGTTCTGCTTCCTGGCATTTGGGCTTGGTGGCTGTCGTGGGGTGCCCAAAGCCTCTGAGCCCCTCTCTGGGTGCAGCTGCCGTTCCTGGAGGGGATAATTGTTGTGATTATTCCCTGGCTGTGTCGTGGGTGAGGGAGGGAGCAGGCTCAGAGCAGCACTGGCAACCTGAGTCACCCATGCACCGGCAGAGGAGGGGAAAAGCAGCCCAAAACAAACCCAGGCATTTAATTCATCCTCAGCCAAAATATCCTGTTTCATCTGGGGATCAGATAATATTTCCCAGCCCTTTGAAAGTCCATTTTGAAACCAAAGAAAAGAAAATATTATAGATCCCTCCCTTTGCTGCCTTGCTCTGCTTCACCCCAAGCTGTTTACTGATTTTTGTCCTGGATTTGGCACAATGTTCTTGCCAGTTTATTCTTCACTGTGTAAAACTTTGCCCAGCTCAGATTGCTTTGGATTTGTCAGGGGGGGGTATGAAGGCTGCTGTTCTGCTTGGAAATCCTGCTTGGTGTCACAGCTTCCTGGAAAAGGACCCAGCCCTGTGTTCTGGATTTGTTTCCTGATGCTTTACTCGGGCTGTTTCACTTGGTGTGACAGATGATGCCAGCTCCTGTAATCCTGACTGGTTTGTGTGTGACAGCCAAGAGCTGTGACAGTGACAGAGCACAGAGAAATCCCTCCAGGCTCTGCACAGTGCCCCTCCCTCCCCACCTGCCTGCTGGGGACTCCTCCACACAGAAAATACGGAGACAAAAAAGACTCCAAACCTTTTAAAACACACCAGGAAAACCTGAACCAGCCTTTGAACAAAGAGGTGAAGAAACCAACCCGCAGGTTTGGCTGAAAATGTTGATTAAGTTGACAGGGCTGTCCTGTAGGTTCCCAGGGTAAACTGAAAGCTTGAAAAATGGGAAAATGTGGATGAAAATGAAAGCTTGAAAAATGGGAAAATGTGGATGAAAATGAAAGCTGAGCCTGCCAGATTCCAGCAGGGAACGGAGCTCTGGTACCTCCTGGTGCTGCAGGAAACCCAGGGTGTCCCTGTGGTGACACTCAATTCTCATGCACTGCACAGAGCTGCCACAAAGAGCACCCCAGGAGTCAGAAAGTCACTTTCCTGACAAGAAATTTGGTCTGGCCACAAAACCACATCCTCTGGCCCAGGTCCCTTTCACAAAGGCAAGCTTCAGTGGCCCAGATGAGCAATTGGTAAACCAAGCCCAGTCAAAGCCTCTCCCACATATTTTGAGGGGGAGGAGGAGAATATCTCACAAGTGAATCACAAACACTGAAAAAGCAGAAAATATGCGAGTAAGGTGGTGTCTCACACCCAGAATCTGTGCATTATTTCTGACCACAGTGGAGAGCTGCAGGTGGTTTATTGTGGGGTATAGGAGGCACTCTCAGGTTCTGAGGAATAACTCTGGGCACCTTTTTTTGCACTCTCAGCCTTTCTGAGGGCTCAGTCTGGGCAGCTGGGGGAGGTTTGATGCTTCTCATCCTCACAAGTGCAGCAGCTCAGAGAATTATTTTCCCCAGTTGCTCAGGAGTAACTTTAATGATGCAGCTGGAGCTGCCCTGGCCCTGTCAGTGCTGAGGAATGGGAGATCTGCAGGAGGAGGTTTCTCTGCTGAAAAGAAAACGTCCTCTGTGTCTTTAAAAACAATTATTTGAGGAAAGGTTCTGCTCTGCTTCCAAACCCTCCCTCATTTAACCTTTTCCCCTTGTTGGTGGAACAGGTCGCACGAAGTCACCCCTGTCACAGGACCCAAACTCATTCCCGAGTTTCTCCAGGAGTTCTGTCCTTCAGCTCCTCCTCAAGCATGCAGTGACCACTGGTGGCTTCCTGCCTCAGGGACCAGGAGAGAATGCTCCATGGAGAGCTTCCAGAAATGCATTTTGCTCCCCCTCATCCTGACGGCCTGGCTGCCAGGTAGGACCTGTTGGTGACCCCTGGGATGAACCAGCGTGGACAAGGTGTGGGCACTCATTCCAGGTGGTGAAAATGGCCTTGGGGACGAGCTCAGGCTGAGCACTCAGCCACAGAGTGGGATTATTTCAACTGCTTGGAAGGAGATGTTTGTGTTTCAAGCCTGAACCATCTAAAGTGTGCTTGAGGGTGAAGGGCTGAGCAGAGTGTGGGGTGGGGAGGAGGTGGGAGGGCTGCCCTCTTTCAGTTTCCTCGTTTTTCTCTTCCTCCTGATTGGGACTGCTTTTGAGGGTGCATCTGTGGAAACCTCAGTACCAGCAGCTGGTTTTTACTTCCAGAAGTAAATGCAAATTCTCACATTGCTGGTTTACCACCAATTCACACTTCACATGCCTGAGTCTCAAAGTCAGTTCAGATTAGAAGTGTCTTTGTGGCAAAGCTTTAGAGGAAAAGTGAATATTAAGTGACTAGTTGGGTAACAAAGACAAGGCTGATTTTTTTTTTTTTAATTACAGTCTAGCTGGAGTTTTAAGAGGCTCTGACAGGAATGAGCTGCAGTGGGATGAGGGGAAAGGTGTTGTCATGGATTAATAGTGAAAGGAAACACAATGCAGGAATAAACACTGAGAGTTCTGAGCAGGGGAGCTGCACAGGGATGTGTGGTGCTCAACAAGCTCTTGAAGAACCTGGTGAAGAGGAGGGAGCTGTGAGGTGGCAGACTTTGCAAGCAGTGCAGAATTACTTAGGGCAGCCAAATCCAAAAAGAGATGGGGAAGATTTGCCAGAAAATGTCATGATGTCAGATGAGAAAGTAAGAAAGGCACAGAAAGCATTTGATGCAAAGCATCTCTTAAATGTAGTGTCGAGTGGAGAAAATAATAGATGTCTTGGAAAGAGAGTAAATTGCTGAAAAAGAGAGAAAATTTCACCATTTCATGTCTTCAGCAAGGGCAGATAAAATGAAACCTGGCATGATGTAAATCCCCAGAAAGGTTTCATCTCAGATATTGGCTGTTTTGTTAACCCTTCCATCACAAACAGGACAGGTCTGAGAAAGCTACCAAGTGTGATGGAGCTGTTCTAAGGTGGAGAACAAGGAATCATTGGAGGGTTGGGGTTGGAAAGGAACTTAAAAATCTTCCAGTTTCCACTTCCCTGCCATAGCAGGGGCACATTTCACCAGACCAGGTTCCTCAGTGCTCCATCAGCCCTGAACACTTCCAGGATGGGGCATCCAAAGCCCCTCTTGTCTAGGAGGGAAGGATGAGGAGGCTTCATTAGACTGGGGTATCTTTTTCCTGCTTGTGAAGAAGAATAAATGGTAAAAATGTATTAAAATGATTAATTAGATGGAAGTGAATGGTGAAATGATTATCCACAATTTCTCATAACAAAATGAATTTGTGGTAACCACTAAAAGTATCAGATTTAGGGCTAACCAAAGCCTGTTCTTTTCTCAGAGCATGTTATTAAATTGGAAAGCTCATGGTCACTGGCTGTGGGGGATATCAAATTATAAACAGGCTGAAAAACCCAGAAACAAATATCATAAAGGGTAGATCCATAGGTGCAGAAGTGTCACCATCATATTTTCTGAAAAATCCCTTCACCAGGATTTCTTCTCCTGGGAAGCTGAGAAGCCTCAGAGAAAAAGGAAAACAATAATTATCTCATTTGCTTCTCCTGTGTTTTGCTGCTTTGGAATGTGGTTTGGAGATTGTTTACCCAACCTGTGAATTGTTTTTACTTAATGACCAATCATTGTCAGGCTGTGTTGGACTCTGAGGAGAGAGTCAGGAATTTTTAATTAGGATCTTGTTAAGCCTTCTGTCTGTATCCTTTCTCTATTCTTTAGTATAGATATAATATAATATAATATAATATAATATAATATAATATAATATAATATAATATAATATAATATAATATAATATCCTTCTAAGAACATGGAGTCAGATTCATCATTTCCTTCCAATGATGGAGACCCCAGAAAATACCACAAAAAAGCAATTTTTGGCTCAGGAAATCCCTGGATCTTTTTTTTTGGGCACTGGGGACTGCCAGTCAAACATTGAGTGAGAGGAGAGATGAAGACAAGCCTGGGGGCTGTGGAGAGGTTTGTGTGCAGGTGGGAGGAAATAAAGACTTGCTGAGCATCAGGAGTCTGGTATTACTTGACAGAAACATCCTGTAAGCATTTAAAAATCCTTGTTAACACAAGTGAACAAGCCAGTGCCTCGCTGCAGGCTTTGACAAGCTCTAACCTACTTTGGTTTTCAAAAAGCTCAGCTGCAGGGCTGTTGGGTTTTGAGACAAACTCGAGCTGCTCATTTACTTATTTATTTATTTATTTATTGTTGTGTATTCAACAGCTGTGATAGCAGAGCTGTGGCTGGAGCAGTGGGCCAGTGGTGAGGAAGGGGAGGTAGTAGAAGGCAAGGTGGGATGAGCAGGAGAATGAAGAAAAAGTGAAGAGAAAAAGGAATTTCAAAGAGACTGGAAGGAAAAAAAAAAGATGTAGAAATTCAAACAGAAAGAGCAAAGAGGGAAGGGAGAAAGACAGATATTGGATACAAAAACTGAAGGATGAAAAGCAGTGTTTGTGGAAGGGCAATATGGTAGAGAGGGGGAGATTATTTTGAAATACGATAATGAGGCTGAAAAAAAGAGGAATCATTATGGCAGAAGGATAAGCTCATCCTGTCCTTCCCTGTGCTGCATCCAAATAGGTCACTGACAAAAGAGGAAAGGCAGAGCCAGCAGAGGAGAGGGGGCAAGGAAGAGAAGGTAGCCAGGTCTCAATGCCCTTGTTGTTGAAAATCCAGTGTTGAACTGTGGGCCTTTGGGGTTCATCCAAGTGTTGAATAAAAAACATTGCTGATGATGGGCAAGGGTGGCTCTTTGGCAAATGAGTTTCCCTCAGTGCAGGCATCATCCTGCACAAGATGCATTTCCATTTCTTCATGACCTGCAGTGCTGTGACGGTGAATTTGTGCGGCACAGGAGGGAAAACCCCAGCTCACAAAGGAGTTGGTTTGTGCTGTGTGCGTTGCTGGGAGGCACCTGGGACACCAGAAACACTTCATTTAAGCAAATTTTCACCCCTGCTGAGTGCTCTGTAAACATTTAGTGATGTGCCTCAGAGAAGGTGCCCTCACTCAGCCCAGCATTTCCCTGCTCTTCGCCTGGGTGGGATGTCTCCCTGCTGGAGTGGGGGGAAGCAGATGTTAAAGCAGCTGTTAAAAGCTGAACATGTAATTCCTGTAAAGTGCAATGAAAATCTAGCCCTTAATTTGTTTAAAAGCAGCCATCTGCAAGGTATTTTTGAAGCAGGATGCAAATGAAAGCAGCACTAACACTTTTTCTCCCCCAGTGCATGAGGCAAGGTCCAGCACTGGCTGGAGGCATTGGTAGCTGGGTTTAGATCCCATTTGTGCCATGAACGTCCTCTGTGACCTCACACAGGTGACTTTGTCACTGTTTGTGCACGGGTTGGACAATGGAACATGCTGTTGGTTCAGGACTCCACGTGCAGAACAAACAATAAAAGCAAGAAGATAAAGAGGCAAAGGAGAAATCACCGAAAACATTCAGGCCACAGGTGGAGAAAGCTGATGAAACTCCTTGATGGGCCAGGAGCTAAATGGAGGAGAGGTTGTGTCCCACTCCTCAGCCCTTCTGCCTCCCAAAGGATCCCCATGCAGGGCTCAGGGACCTTTCCCCATGGGGCAGCAATCAGGGAAATGTCATTTATTGCTCCAGCAGACATGGTTGCTGGAAGATGTAGATCCTTCCTTACCTATGGACCGATAAAAAATAATTATCACAGATAAATGATTAACTCATACCTGCCTGCCTACACTGCACTAAAGAAAGCAAAAGCAACATAGCCAATTATTTTTAGAGCCAGTGATCACTGATTATTCCTGTTTAGGGATAAATTTCAAAGATTAATTAACAGCAAGGATTGTCCTGAAAGTTGAACCATTTATTCAGAGCCCTGGCAGATCACAGCTCCTTGAAAAAGCAGAGTGTTTGCACAGGCATAGAAATAAATTCCAAGTGCACAGAGAACAGCTTGCATTAAGAGGGGCAGAGTGGGTAAGTTTTAATTTGAACAGAAATATGATTTACTTAATCTTATCTGGCTTTATTAATTATCACAGTAGCTAAAGTTTGCTTTTCGTTTAATGTTTTGTTGCTCACACACAGATATACTCTGCAGACTGAGCTGCATGGCAGAGGTAACATAACCCAGGAAGGTGGAAAATTTTTGTGAAGGTTTTTGTAAACATGACAGAAATCAGAGTCAGCCATACACAGAGCCAGGGAGAGCAAGCTTTGCACAGTCCTGCAAAACAAAGAAGTCTGTAAATGCTTGCAGCAGGTGGGAGGAAAGAGAGGAGATATTTATGTTAAAGAACAATTCCTGGCACCAGCCTGGTTGGATGTACAGTGGTTAAATGTGGGCTGGGTGTGGTCCCCAGCATGAGGTGAGAGATGAGAATCTTGACTCCATGTTCTCAGAAGGCTGATTTATTATTATATTATTTAATAAAATAAAATATAATATATAAATCTATATATAGTATACATAATATATGAATAGATTTATATAAAATAAAATACATATTTATAATATATAATATATAATATCTTATAATAAAATATAATTTAAATTATATAATATTTTATAATATATATCTTATATCTAAAATATATTATGTAAATATATTATGTAAATATATTATATAATTATATTATATTATATTATATTATATTATATTATATTATATTATATTATATTATATTATATTAATACTATAATAAAACTATACTAAAGAAAGAGAAAGAATACATCCAAAGGCTTAACAGGAATGAATAATAAAAACCTGTGACTGACTCTTCAGAGTCTGACACAGCTGATGGTGATTGGTCATTAATTAAAAACAATTCACATGTTTGGATAAACAATCTCCAGACCACATTCCAGAGCAGCAAAGCATGAAGAAGTTGGGGCTTCTCATCTTCCCAGGAGAAGAAATCCTGGCAAAGGGATTTTTCAGAAAATATCATGGTGACAGCTGGGAACTGCAAAAGGCTCTGGGCAATGGAGCAATGAGGTTTCAGACCCCAGTCCTGGGAGCAGCTCACTGAGGCACTGGTTGCAATGTCCTCACTGAGACTGGGCTCTGGTTCCATTTATGCAAACACCAAACACCCCTGTTGTGTGAAAAATACAGTGTGTCCTTCTCACATCAGCTGCTGCCTGAAATAATTTTTTCTTTCAATAATTTATAGCTAATCCATTAATGAATAAATTACCTAAAAACAAACTTGGTGTGAACAAAACCCTTAAAAATTACTTCATTGCCTGGAATACTCTTAGCAAGGGAGTGATGACCATTTCAGGCTTCCTTTCTCCTGGAACACAATTGAAGACTTTATTCTCAGGCCAAGTTTGCTGGCGTGAGGTTTTAATTAGGCTGCCATGGATTGCAGTGTCTAATTGCTGCCATCATGCAGAGCCCAGCTGGGAGCATTGGGGCACCACAGCAGGATTGTTCCCTGGGGAGGCAGATCCCCCTGGCACGACTGTTGGGTCTGCAGGAGGGGAATGTCCTTGCTGGGACTCAAAATATTCCTGTGCAGTTGGTGGAGTTGGCAATGGGAGGCCCTGGGTCTATGAGGAGGAAAGGAAAACAAAACGACTTCGTTAGGAGCTTTCAGCTCTGAAAAATACTGGCCAGAATTCACACTGCCTTTCAGGGAGTTAAAACTAATGAGTTTAAGCACACCTTGGATATCAGAAAGCCTGAGGAAGGCTTTAGAAAAAGTACATCACAATGTATGTGATGAATAATTGAGGAACAGGGGAAGGAGCACGGAAGGATAAATGATGGGGCTGCAAAAAATCAGTGGCAATCCAAGATATGGAAAAGGAACTAGTTACACACTCCTTTAATTATTAAAAGTGTGGGCAACTCATGTATTTTCCTACTTAAAAGTGGGATTTTTTCTCTCAGCAAAATGGTAGTCAGTAAATTACTGAAGAGAAACAGGTGATTTTGGAGTGGGAGAAGGAGACGAAATAATTAAAGGCATTTTTAAAAAAAACACTTAATCTAAGCAGGATCTGAAAGAATAGATTGCACACCTCCATCTCTGAACCGGTTAAGATGTTTGACACTATCCAACCACCTCTGCTGGTGTTGTATGTGTGTTTATGGACTGATTTTGGTTCCCTCACAGGTCTGGGCTTTTGTTACTCCATCACAAAAGGCCCTGAGAACGCCACAGTGCTGGCTGGCTCCGAGGCCAGGTTCAACTGCACGGTGTCTGCAGGATGGAAAGTCCTCATCTGGCTCTCCCAGGGCAGCCCTGTCCTCACTGTCCTCAGCTCCCAGGGCTCTGTGGAGACCACAGAACGCTTCACCTCCAGGAACTACAGCACTGGGGATGAGTTCACCTCGGAGCTGATCATCCACAACACCCAGCTGAGTGACTCTGGCAGGATTGAGTGCAGCATCCAGCAACCCAGCCAGAACAACTTTGCCTTTCTCTCTGTTCAAGGTGTGTATGGCTGATGCCTTGGGCAGGCTGACCTAGAGCACAGCTACAGAATAAAGCAGGGATTTATTCAAAGGCCTCCATGGATGCACCTTGGGCAGCACCAGAGCCCAGCCAGGGCTGCACCCAAGATGAACCAAAATGGCCCCAAAATGCACGGCCGGGCACGGGGTCTGTCCCTGGGATCAGTTCTGCTCCATTTGCATCTTGCAGTTCATTGTCCCATCCCAGCTTTAGCCCCTGCAGTCCCACCCTGCTTGTTTTTCTCTCTCCAGCCCACGGGGTTTGTGCTCTGGGGCTGAGATTTGGATCATTTGTCCTTGGTGCCCAGCTGGAGCAGGAATTGTTTTGTCTCCCTGCTCTGTGCACAGAGCTCACCATCCCAGAATGTGAACCCAGCCCCACACACTAAAGCAGCACAGAATGTGAAAAATAGAAAAGTTCAAACCTGAGGCATCATAGCCACCAGCCAAAAGCTGTTTTATTGTGCTGCACTTAAGGGAATCCTCTGAGGAATTGCCCAGGTTATCCCTGGGAAGGAGCACATGCTCCCATTTCCCATCCTTTGCCTCCTGCCCTCCTCACCCTCATTTTACTGAGAGGGTTTTAGAGTCACATGTGGGGTGCCAATAGCAGAGGTTATAACTGCCCCTGTTTTTTCCTGCTCCATCTCTTGTTCCTTATCATCCTGCAGCCAGGAAAGCAGGATCTCAGCACCAGGCACCATCCATTGGTCAAGGAGGGGCTTGGTGCAGTGATGACATCTCATCACCTACCTGTAAACCTCTTCTTAGATGACCTGAGCATATTTAAAACTTAGAGAGAAACACTGTTATTTCACTATGTTGTCCTCCAGCTGGATATGTGTCAAGATGTCCAAAAAGTGCAATTTCCTGCTTTTTATTGGAAAGGTACTGAAAGTTGAGACTTGTGCTTTAACCTATTGGGTAATGGGCCCGTGTAGCTGAAGTATCTGCATGTTTCCATCATGCATATGGTAGATCTGTATTAATAATTGTTTTCCACTTCATATCTCAAGGCATAGCTATTTCTGGGTAGCGATTTAAGATTTAAAAGCCACCAGCAGGAAAGCAATGCAGCGAAACGTTCTGAAGGAACAAAAACATCTTTTCCCTCCCACAGTTAATGGATCTTTACTCATCAAAAATAGCACCTTAACAGTAAAAGACAACCAAACAATTGAGATTGTTTGTGAAGCCTTAGGATGGGCTCCAGCTCCAGACATTGCCTGGATGACAAATGACTCTTTGGTTGATAAATCGAGCTATGTTACCCAGCAAAGCCCAGGATCTCATGGCCTCCACAATGCCCTGAGCACCTTAACTCTGACTCCGAGGGACACTGAGGTTTTGACTTGTTTAGCTGACATAGAAGCACTCCCCAGCCCTCAGAATGCAACTGTAACTCTTATTTTTGACAACTCTGCCACGGGTAAGTGAATGTTTGCTGTGCTTTTCCCGTCCTGTACCACCCGTGCTCAGGGTTGTGCGTTTTGTTCTGCTTGGTTTTGCTTTAGAAAGTTGTTTATTTGCCAATGAAATCCTCTGGGGTGTGGGATTCAGGGCCAGGAGTCACAGCATGATGTATAGGTAGGGTTAAATGTACTTTTAGCAGTCTAATGAACCATGAAGCCCAAGGTAGAACTGAGCAGGACAAAGCCTCTGACAAATACCTGCCTCTGACTCCTGTGGATTCACTGCTAGGAAAACCAATCTTTGCTCCTTGACCAAGAAAACACCCAAGGAATTGAATTTAGATCTTCAATATCCTTGATCAGAGCATGCCAGCCATATTAACTTAATTTCTTACAAAGCCAAACCCTCGTGTGAAATTGTTCTCTGTAATATCCAATACAAGTTTTACCCCTGATTTGGGAAAAAAACCCTCCCAGTTTCTGCACACTACCCAGAATAAATTCTGTCCCAACATATATGAATTTTTTGGGCATTAGGTTGCTTTTTACTGGATTTCACTTAAAGAAATTCAAAGTTGCTTTAATCCAAAGTGGGATGTCATGCAAATCTCTCCAGAGCAGTTAGCAAGGCCTTTGATAACTCTAAATATTTTTGCTAGGGCTGTAATCATGGTGACAGCTTCTCTTGATGAACTGATTCTTCTTCTGCAATGGGTGAACAAGGCACACACAAAATATCCTTACAGGGTACCAATGAGGGGTTTGGTACAGACATTTTGACACATAAACAACTGAGAAGATTGAGTAGCTGTGCCCTTTGTTTCCAATATGAATCATTATTAGCAGGCCTTTTTCAGAAGTGCTTGCTTGGTAATGCAGTTGGAAAAGGTCATTTTACCATCCCTAATATGGCCTTTTGTAGTCACATTGATCTTAATTACTGACTAAGCAAAATAGGACTATCCTGAGGAAATTAATAAATTCCCCTGCCCACTCAATTTGCGATGTTTCCATAGCTACTCCCTGCAAATCAGAAGAGGAGAAAAAGAGATGTCATGAAGCACTATTAGTGTATGATTAGTGATTGTACAGGACCATCATTCATTTCTCCTTGGAAATACCATTGTGCAGCAGCAGCAGCAGGCACTCAAAATTTGACAGGATAGGAGAATCTGAAGTCTTTAAATGATCAGGATGAAATAAAAGCATTTATGACATAGGAAGGTCTATAATGTATATATCACACTCAGAATCTAAGAGCTTGTCCCAGTTTTCGTACATGGGCTCAGCCTTAGCTGGCTCTTGGGAAAGAGCACAACCAGCTTCAAACATGTAAGAAAATCCTTCCCAAAACTGCTGAAATTTCAATTTTCCCCTTCACTTAAAAGCTGGGGGAATCAAATTCCTCCTTGTTCCTCTCAAGCAATACAAGAACTGCAGAAAACCTGGGCCCTCTCTGGCCACATGGGGAGGGAATGTCCCTCCTTCCTGCACCTCTGGGTCAGTCTTTCCATACAAAATGATGCATTTTCATGTCATTCACTCTTCCCTACAGGGGTGTTTGGCTGTGCCTGAAATTTGGGAACTCCTACAGAATTGTCCCAGGAGATGCATTCACAGAGCTGTTACTTGGAATGGGATCCATGGGGCAGTTCCTTAGCTGGGTCCAAGCTGTCTTTGGTTTTGGTGTTGAATTCCTGCAGGCTTTTGGACCTGCAGAAGTTGAGGGCAGAGAGTCTCCCATGAGCCTGGATGTCCTTTGCTTTTGAGCTCAGCCTGAAAGCTCCAAAGTGTCCAAGGAGCCATGCGCAGGTTTTTCCAGTCTCTCATTCCTCACTGGTCACCAGCACCCGCCTGGGAAAATCCCCTTTTCTGCAGACACTTTGTCAATGTTTAGACAGCTAAGGGAGGAGCCAGAGGTGGGGATGGCAGCAGAGGATGGGCCCTGTGGAATGAGAAATGGCTCTGTCCACACTAAACCCTCCATGGAGCTTGGTTTGGATTTCCTAAGGGACTCAAAGGGATTTAACTCCTTCACCCCTTCGTGCCCCTCCCTTGCAGCCCTGCTTGTGTGTTCACCTGGCAGCTCCTCATTCACACCCAGCTCCAGTTTCTTTCTGCATCCTCCAAAACTGCAGAGACACAAAAATGCTGAAGCTCTGGGAGTGTTTGTGTTGTACCCTGTCCTTCTGGCTTCAGCTCCATAAATCTCTTGGAGATAACCTGACCCTGGCAGGGAGTGAAACACCCTGGTGTGGCAGCCAGCCTGCAGGAATGGGCTGCTGCAGGTGTGTTTAGCTCCTCCCTTCTCACCAGGGTTAAGCTCTCCCCTCTAGCTAAATAGATGTCATTCATATTTTAGTCATCTTGAAATCCCCGTGGCATCTCTATGGAACAAAATGTACTGAAATGTAGATATCTGTTGCAGTACTTCTAGATAAAAATACTATGAACAAGTTTATCATCAATTGATGGCAGCCTACAGGATTTACTGCTAATTTTCAGCAGTAAATCCTGTAATTTTTTTTTTTTCAGTAAAGCTGAGTGCTTTTTTTTTTTTTTTTTTCCTAATAGAAGAAATTCCAAACATGCTGGTTGAGCATTAGGATTAGAGAAGACTGGAAGACTGGAACAAATTGCTTAATGATAGTGACCTGAGCTTTGAAGAATGCAGGTTCCTGGCAGAGGTTCAAGCTTTTGTAGGAGGTTTTGGTAGTGTGTCTTTTGAGTCTGAAACCTCCAAACCCCAAACATGCACCCAGGAAAATCTGTAGATAGAAAGGATTTAGTTTATTCCCTGCCACAGGTAAACCTGGTTCCCACACCAGGGAATTTCATCAATTGCCCTGACCTTGAGCAGCTCCCAGTCACCCTCATTCCTGTGGAGCCTTTTCCAGAGGCTGACAGCCAAGTGTGGCCATGGAGTTGTTAATTGGGACCTCAAATGAGGAAAAGGCAATCGCAGACCCATGGGACGGGACTGTGCCAAATCTGCACGTGCCTCACACCTGTAATTTGGATTGGAAGATTGTTTCTAACAGCTGTCAAAGTGTTTTGGGGTTGCTTTCCAAAGGGAAACCAAATGTGAGGTGCTTCTGGAATATTTGGTCAAACCAAGGGGCAGGATGATGTGACAAGCAGAATCTTCCTTGTACCTCCAGCTGCCTGAGAAATATTCCCCAGCCCTGGAAGTGTCCAAGGCCAGGGCTTGAATAAACCTGGAATGGTGGAAGGTGTCCCTGCCCATGGCAGGGGGTGGAACTGAGTGATCTTTGGGGTCCATTCCAACCCAAATCATTCCATGATTCTATAATTCTAAATGCAAGATATTTTTAAAATTCTGTGCACGTGGGAGCTGTTTGGTCATAGCAACTGATTTCTGCAAGACATTGAATTATCTTTAAATCCCCTCATTTAACCCTGTAGATTACAGCAAAGATGAAGGAATCAGTTAAATGTGAGCATGCTGCAGAGAAGATGGGTCAGTAGCTCTGTGTTCTTCACTGGTTTTGCTCTTTGGTGCTCTTTAAGTGGGGAACAGGAGTCCCACCAAGCACATCCCAAAATCAAACACTTGTTGAAATCATTGAGAGAAGTCCCAAGATGGAATGGATTAGAAAATAATTTTTCCAGGCTAGAGATCACCAACTGTACTAATCACCTACAACTGTTGCTGTGGTTTGTGGGGAGAAATGGACATTTTTTTCAAAGCAGTTCACCTTGTTAAAAGGGACACATACACATTTGATCAAATTAATGGTAACCCAAAATACCTATTTTATCTCCACTGACAAGAGCAGCCAGGCAAGACACTCAATATTTGCAGTATGAACACATAAATTGAATCTTAACACCTTTCCCCAAAATGTCTCCAAAGGACTCTGGGATGCCCAGCATAATTATAAAATAAAAAGTTTGATGGTTTCAACTCTGTGCTTTTCAGAAGAGAATTAGCAGTGGGAGAAGCTACAACTGCAACAAAGGATTTGAATTCAGGAATATTTTAAATTCTTGGGTGCCATCCATAAATAGGGAGTCTGTCATTTGGAAAACACAGCCTCCTTGTAAAATATTCACCAAACACTTAATAGCAGTTGCCAGAAAAGGCAAACATGCTGAAAAGGATGTTGTGAGGCTCTGATAGTCCAATGTTTCTCCCTTTAATTTAACAGAAAATTATTACAGTGAAGACAACAGGAGCACGTGGGTTATTGTACTTGCAGTTGTGCTTTCATTTCTTGGCATTGTTCTCCTGGTCGTTATTGTTGTGGTTGCTGTGCGCTGCTGCCTGAAGAGGAGAGGTGAGTGAACCCTCACAGCTGGGCTAAACATTAAAAAGGGGTTTTGATCAGGCATAAATCTACTTGTGTCAGCTCTGATGCTGCACAGACACCTGTAATTTTACTTCTGTAAGCAGAAGACTGAGCAGGCAGATCCTGCTCTTAACCATGACCTGTTTAAGGTCCTCCTTAATTTCACCATCATGTTTCTCTCATGGATTTATTCCAATCAGTGTCAGCCCTTCACATTAACTCCCAGGGGATCATGTTTTTTGGGAGTTTTGATTTTTAAAGACATTTAAAGGTTCTTTATTGAAGAATATTTTCAGTGCTGTGTGCCCAATTCAAGTTTCCAAGTAAGATGCTCTACAGGGCTGCCCAATTTTTCAGACAGGGTAGAGAGATGCTCCTGAGGTAGCTGGAACTAGGCCATGCTCTTAGAGAACTTACAGAAGTTTTAAATTTTAATTTCCTGCATTTTAAACACTTTTTTTTTTTTCAATTTTAGGATCTACCTATCAAAATGAAATAAGGTAAATAAGATGATGGAGAACTTCTTGCAGTGTTTTCTGGACTCTGAGGCTGCTGCAGGGTGGCAAGAGGGACGTGCCAGTGTCCTTGTCCTGGCATCCATCATCCCAGAACTGCCAAGCTGTGTGAGCTTGTGGGACAGCACAGGGATGGGGGACAGCACCCAGGGATGGCACTGACTTAGGGATGGGGACATCATCCAGGGAAGGACACTTGTGACAGTGTTCACAGGGGTCTCAGGATGAGGGAAGAGACAAGGATCTGACTCCATATTTCAGAAGGCTTGATTTATTATTTTATTATATATATTATATTAAAACTATACTAAAAGAATAGAAGAAAGGATTTCATCAGAAGGCTGGCTAAGAATAGAATAAGAAAGAATGATAACAAAGCTTCTGTCTAGGACAGAGAGTCTGAGCCAGCTGACTGTGATTGGCGATTAATTAGAAACAACCACAGGAGACCAATCCCAGATGCACCTGTTGCATTCCACAGCAGCAGATAACCATTGGTTACATTTTGTTCCTGAGGCCTCTCAGCTTCTCAAGAGAAAAAAATCCTAAAAAAAAGATTTTTCATGAAAGATGTCCATGACAAACACTGACTTAGGGATGGGGGACAGCATCCAGATATGGGCACTAGCTCAGGGATGGGGGACAGCATCCAGGGAAGGGCACTGATTTAGGGATGGGGGACAGCATCGAGGGAAGGGCACTGATTTAGGGACGAAAGGAGAGCCCCAGGCTCGCAGCAGGCTGTGAACTCCGATCCCACAGTGCTGAAAACCCCTCGGAAACCCCAAAGCGCTGATGCGACGGAGAGCGGGCAAACCCAGCTCCGTTAAAGCTGGAGGACAAAGCGAATTCCTCGGAGCCGGCTGTGCCCCCAGGAGTGCCGGGGAAGGCTGGGGAGGGAGGACGGCAGGGCAGGAGCCGAGCCCGGCGGGCGATGGCCGCCGCCGCCACAGGATGGCACTGCCACACCGGCAGCGCGCCTGGCACCGGAGCGGGGCCGGCAAATTCCACCGGATGAACGGGGAAAAAAGGGTTCAGAGGGCAGGTTTCGATTGGATATTAAGAGGAAGAAATTAAATATTATATATGAGTATATATTACATATAATATATATATTATATATCTATATCTATATCTAATATTATATATATTATAAAAAATATATATTTCTAATATAGTGTATATATAGGGAAGGTTTCGATTGGCTATTAAGAGGAAGAAATTATATATTATATATTATATATTATATATTATATATTATATATTATATATTATATATTATATATTATAATAAATATATACTATATTTATAATATACTATATATAGGGAAGGTTTCGATTGGCTATTAAGAGGAAGAAATTAAATATTATATATGAGTATATATTACATATAATATATATTATATATCTATATCTAATATTATATATATTATAATAAATATATACTATATTTATAATATAGTATACATAGGGAAGGTTTCGATTGGCTATTAAGAGGAAGAAATTAAATATTATATATGAATATATATATAATATATATTATACATTGTATATTACATATTATATATTATTATATATGGTATACATAATATATATAATATAGTATATATAGGGAAGGCTTGGATTAGATTTTAAGAGGAAGATATATATATATGAATATATAATTGATATCATTATATACTATTATATATTATATAAAAATTATTATACAGAATGTACAGAAATATAATATATAAATATAAAATATATATAATATATAACATATAGTATATAATATATAATATAATTACATTATATATTAAATATTAAGAAATTCTTGACTGGGAGGCACTGGTACAGGTTGTCCAGGCATGATGTGACTCTCCATCCCTGGGGTGTTCATTGGAGCACCCTGGGATAGTGGAAGGTGTCCATGCCCATGGCAGGGGCTTGGAGTGAGATGGTCTTTAAGGTTTCTTTCAAGCCAAGCTATTCTATAATAAAAAAAATTTTATTCTATAATAAAAAATTTAATAATATTATATGATTATTTAATTATATAATAATTTTAAAATGAAAAAAATTAATAAAGCTGCCCCATGGATTTTTAATTAAAAAAATGAATAAAGCTGCTTGGATCAAGATGATCTTTAAGGTTTCTTCCAAGCCAAGCTATTCTATAATAAAAAAGCAATATTATATAATTATATCATATATAATAATTAAAAACTAAAAAAATGAATAAAGCTGCCCCATGGATTTTTAATTAAAAAAATGAATAAAGCTGCTTGGATCAAGATGATCTTTAAGGTTTCTTCCAAGCCAAGCTATTCTATAATAAAAAAAAAGCAATATTATATAATTATATCATATATAATAATTAAAAACTAAAAAAATTAATAAAGCTGCCCCATAGATTTTTAATTTAAAAAATGAATAAAGCTGCTTGGAACAAGATGATCTTTAAGGTTTCTTCCAAGCCAAGCTATTCTATAATAAAAATTAATATAATATATAATAATATATAATAATAATAATAATAATAATAATAATAATAATAATAATAATAATAATAATAATAATAATAATAATAATAAAACATTACTAAACCTGGCCCATGGATGAGTATCAGCACCTCATCCAGTGCTTTTCAGATGTGTTTCAGCACAAAGCTGTTGTTCTATTATTGCACTGAGATGGAAAACTTTAGAAATCATTAACTGGTGGCTCTCAGCATTAAGATCCTTTTTACCAGAATCTGTGCCAGCCGTGGCAGTGGGGTTATTAATATTATTATTTATATTTAGGCAGCATTGTGAATTCATTCCCTGCCTACGCCTGTGGGGTTTTAAGTCCCCGTCCCTTAATGAGTGTGCAGAATGTTCCACCCCGCTGCCTGGCACGTCAGCAATTCCCAGTTTCATTAGCAGCCCCTTGTGGGGAACGTTTGTGCAGGTCTGTTGACAGATTTCCATTTGTAAAGCACTTTATTGATGGGAAACAAAATAAGGAAATTCGATAGCCTCTGTTTTCTCCCAAGGAAATGATGCTTATTATGCCATGCCACACGTGTAAACTTTGTGATTTCTTACTTTGTGGGGCTAAATTCATCATTTTGCCAAGTGCAGCTCTATAAATAGGACAGGATTAAATCAGCAGGGATTGCATGGATTCTGATTTGGTTCAGAACCCCAAAACCTTCCACAAGGATCAACCCTACAAAGGCAAAAGCAGCTGAAGGTGCAGGGAAGGACCTGCCCAGCAGCTGGGTCTGTGTTGTGTCTGTGGCCTTGCTCTTGTGGATCTGCTGTGCTTCTTTCAGACAACCTGAACAGGTCCAGAACAGGGCATAACTTTCCCTCAGGAAAGGAAAGCTTTTCATCTGATCTGGGCAGAAACAATTCTACCTTCATGGCAGAAATGTGGTTTTAGGTCTCAGTACTACAAAGTTACTATTTCTCCATTAAAGATGGGTTGTCTCACTGTGTTCACACACCTTGCTTATAATTTCAACTTAAAAAAAAACTGGGATGAGTTTAGGCTCTGAGGCCCAGTTTGGACTTGAAGATTCAGTGTTGATTTCAAGGTTTGAAAAACAATGACACTGAAATCACAGAAAGGATTATTAACAATCACAGATTTTGTAGGCTCAGTGGTTTTTTCCTTGGGGGGAACTTCCCTGCAGTAAAAAGAATGATGCTTGTCCAGATTTTGGAAGCTGCTGTGGTAGCAAAGAAGTAGTGAGACCAAACATACACTGGTTTATTTCCCACCTTTATTTTTAACTTGGCAGGCTATCTTCCCATGCCTCCCACACACCTTTTCTTTTTTTAATTTTTTTTTTGGAGCTGCTTTTTATTTGGCTACTCCACCAAGTTTGTTGGGATCTAAGGCTCAGATAAAAGAGACAGCACAGTGTCATGTAACATGTGGGGGTGGTAGCCCTAAACAATTGCTTTTGTCTTCTAAACAACCATGGCAGGGCTCTTTGTGGTATCCAACCTTCTTATCTCCTAAAACAGCCCCACAGCTGAGAGCTGGCTCACCAGATTTGTGTGTGCATTAGTGACACCCTCTGAAGCTCTGGGGGCCTGCAAAGTGATTCCTGCTAAATACAAAAGAAGTAGAATTACAGGATCATGGAATCATTGAGGTTGGAAAGGACCTGCAAGGTCACTGAGTGCCAGCTGTGCCCCATGGGCACCTTGTCCCCAGCCCAGAGCACTCAGTGCCACCTGCAGGGGACACCTGCAGGGCTGGGCACTGCAAAGCTCCCTGGGCAGCCCCTGCCAAGGCCTGAGCTCCCTTGCCATGGGCAAATTGCTGCTGCTGTCCAAGCTGAGCCTGCCCTGGCCCAGCCTGAGGCCGTTCCCTCTGCTCCTGTCCCTGTGCCCTGGGAGCAGAGCCCGACCCTCACTGCAGCTTTTGTACAAGGACACGCAGCAGTTTCCACAAACATCACGGACTTAGATCACCCACCAAAAATTCCTGGGTTTCCATGGTGGATTTGTGTTTGCCACACCTCAAACCCAGGCAGAAGTGGACCTGGGAGTGTCCTGGAGATGGGTCCATGGTAGCAACAGATCAATAGTAGCATCTTTTCTGGCATCAGAATTTGGGGTGAAAAAGCACCATTCTCTCCCTGTGCAGCTATGAGGGCACTGTTCTGCAAATTCAGAGATGTGTTACTTTAACCAAGGAATTTCTCTCTCATGTAAAGTAAATTTCAGAGTGAAAGATTAATTTCAGAGAGTACAGATGAGTCCTTGACTGTGGGGATGTGAGAGGACACGCTTTGGGTCTGCAGCTGGGCACCAAAACCATCACCTGTCATAACTGACCTGGCTGGTGTTCCACTATTGGGCACATAAATATCCTACAATTCAGAATCAGAGATCAAAATTAATTTTCTGCAAAACCTATGATCTGGCACAGAGTCCACACTTTGGAATGTTTGCCTTATTTTCATAGGTTTTGACATTGCAGCTGATGGAAACTTTCCAAACAGAATTCCATGGGCAATACTTCCATGCTAATTGCTTGGAATAAGTTTTACACCTAAAAAAAAAATTAGGTGTAAAAATGTGAGGTGTAAAAAATTTAGGTGTAAAATTTTAAAAATTTTTTTAGGTGTAAAAATATTAATTTTTGGGACATTTACTTGAACAAGAGTTCTCCCGCCATGAAGAACTTCTAATGACACTTTTTTGTTTTCTAGAAAAGTTTCAGCTGAGAAGAAAAAAGAAGGTGGTTTGGAAGACAGGCAGAGGAGTGGCAGTGAAAATCTGGGATACATTCCAGAGGAATTGTGGAACACAGAGCACAGCTCAGGTGAGTCTAAGCTGCTGAATCACAGATTGGCAAATTGCTTCTCAACATGGGCCTTTTGGACAACAGGTCAGGCAATTAAAACTAGGAGGTTTCACAATATTTAGTGAAGGACTTGTGTTTTTCCTGGACCTCTCCAGAACATTTTTGATGTTTCAGAGGAAGATCCTCCAAAAATATTGTGGAAACACCCAAGTTCTGTGCAATTAAATTTAGATTTAGTCCTGGGTTTGGTTTTTTTAATGCCTTTGTTCTTCTAATTGTCTTCTGGGGCCAGATGTGGGAGGACTGGATTTTCATACGAGCAGCAATTTAGGCAATATTTTGCAGTTGGCCTGTGAAAACAAAGGAAAATCCACCACTGCCAACACACGCACGCACACACACACACACAAATTTAAAACAACAAAAAGGAAAGAAAGAGAAGAAGGAAAGAATAAAGGCAGTTAGTGAACTATTATTTTACTGATAAATGACTAAGTTAGCATTATAAATTCTTGTCCTTAAGCACAAAGACTCTTCAAAAGCAAATGTAAATCCCCACCAAATCGTTACCTGCCACTTGCCTTTTTAACCACATTATTCTCAAAACATTTAATCAAACACTTAATGGCATGAAATTATTGTGCAGAGTCTACAATCCAGGCACACATCCTTTCCTCTCTGACAAATAAGTGGTGAAGAAATAAGTACAGGGGAAAGATTTTGAGAATATGTAGTATTATAAAATGCAGCAGTTATAAAAAGTAAAAGGGAAATTAAGTGGATCTGGACAAATTGAGTCCACAGAGTTCTAGACTGGCTTTGTTCATATTTGTTGGTGTCCTGGGTTGACCATGGCTGGTCACCTCCCTTCTCCACTGACCTGGGTGTCTCCAGGATTGTTTCCTTCACACTTTCTCTCTCCTCTTTCCCAGGTCCTGCTGTGCTGGGGTTTTTTTTTATCTTTCCTTAAATTTAAGTTATGGTGCCACCAATGTCATGGCTCAGGCAAGACCCACCTGGAACTGCCTCTGTCTGACACTGGGGGCAGCTCCTGGTGTCACCTCACAGAAATCACCCCTGCAAACTCCCTCAGTACAAAAATTTGGTCATGTTAGCCCAAAAAATCAGCCTTAGTTTTGCTCACAATATTAATAATTAAGATTATTAATTAATAATTAATATTAGCTGTTGTTGTACTATTCCTGCCCTGATGGACACTGAGTAACATTAATCTTTTACATTCTTGTTGCAGGAATTTCCTCTCTTCCCCCAGTGTTTCCCAAGTTTGCTGGCCCTGATGACAATTTGCACATCAGCTCTGTACCAAAGGTAATGCTGATTTCTTGAATATCTCGACCTTTTTTTCTTTTTGCTTTCTCACAAAGTGTGTGTTGTGCTAGAGCCAAACATAGATTTTGGGGAGGCAGACAATTAGAAGTCAATTACAGCTGTAATTGGGTAAGTGGAATGTCCCCTCAGCATTCTTGAGTGTGTTTTCCTTCAGGCTTGAAGGAGATGTGGGTCTAAGATGGAGGCACTGAGAAGGTGAGGTTTGAGGTTCCTTTGCAAACAAAATCCAGTGTGGAGAGAGTAAATAAATTTTGCATTTTCTGTGGATCATTTCTGACTGTATTTTCCAATATTCTAGAAATTGCTTCAGTCATGGTCTTGGAACCTTTGGTGTCTCAGCAGTAGGAGCTGGGAGGGAAAGCAAACACCCAACACCCAGCGCCCCCAGAGCTTTGCCCCCTTTTCCTTGTGGATGAAATGTAAAAGGAAGAGCTCAGTGTTTGCTCCTCCACTGGTTCCATTCTCAGTGGCCTCATTCTGAAGGCTGGTGCTGCTCTCTCTTAGCTTCCAGCACTAGAGCAACGTGAATCTTAATTTATGCCGTATTTTTATAAGATCCATTTAGCACCTCCAGGATGGTTTTTTGCCAATATTCTCTTGAGAAAGTGGTGGTGATGTGGTACTGAGTTCACTCCTCAACACAGTGATAACTCATTTATTTCTGAAGAGCTGCTTCAACATGTACAATGAAGAAATCTGTCTTGGGGATGACACTGCACATAAATCATAGCAGAGTGTGTCAACTTCTCTTGGCACACAATGAAATTTAGGAAGCACTCAATCAACAATTAAAACAATGATCACATAATACCAGTACAAAATAACAGCAATGACACTGATGCATTTGTGCCTGGTAGTTATGATAGTTGACATGAATTACTTGTCAAACAAAATACTTTTAAAGGAAAGCTGAAAAGTCTGCACAAAACAGTGGAGGCATCAGTGTGGATCTACAATCCCAAGCAACACTTTCAGACAGAGTTTGGAGTGCTTGTGAACAGGATTATGGGGCTTTTATCAGCTCCTGCATACACAAATGGGGCCATCACAATATACTGAGAAGCCCTGTTCAAAACTGACAAATAGTTTGTCTTCACCAAGACATTTTTAGATTGCTAAATATTCCTCTAACACATGGAAAATAGTTATAAATAACTTTCACCTCTTGATTCTCTCTTGGTGTTTTTCAAGCATGTGTGTGCAGCTATTGATGCAGGTAGAAGCCACTGTGACAGAGGTTTTATATTGTCCAGGTAGAACTGGTTTGAAAATCATAAATATTTCAATGTTATGCTGTGTTCCTGTGATGCATTCAAAGTTTCCCTGGCCACTCGAACTCCCAGGCCACCTAACCCAGGATTTCATGTGAAGGCTGCACCTTTCATGTCTCACATTGAATCAGGACAGTGAACAGAAGCTGTGCTTCCATGCATGTGGGATGTGTGTCTGCTCTGACAGCCAGGAGAGGATGTGCTGAGCACCCTGGACACATTTCAGGGCAGGATATTGACCCCAGGAGGTGTCTGGATGTGGCCCCTGGGGACATGGTTTAGGGGTGATGATGGTGGTGATGGCTGATGATGGGACTGGATGATCTGGAGGTCTCTGCCAGCCTCAATGCCTCTGGGATTGGGTGGCTCTGGGATGCATTTGGGCATTTCCCAGTGCCTGGGTGCTCATTGATGGTTCATGGGCACTGGTTGGGCACTGTGGTGGTGGCATTAAGGCATTTGGTGACATCTGAAAGGCATCAAATTTGGGTGTTCTCAGGCAGCTCCATCCACTGTGAGAACAAAAATGATGTGAGTGGGGACCTATAGTAGAGGAAATGTATTTGAATATGTGTATAGAGGCTTTGCCCCAGGAGGTCCCAGTTGCCCTTGATGGGCTGCAGCTGCGATGTCCTTAATTGGGCTGCAGCTGTAACTGATGAAGATGACTGGGATAAAAGGGGGCGGGTTAGCCAGTCAGGGAGAGCCTTGGAGGAGTCCTGACCTGAGAGAGAACAGTGTGCAGCAGAAGGAGTCTGTGAAGAGCTGCAGCCATGAGAATACACCAGGAGAGGTATGGACTTTAGAAATCTAATAACAACAACAAGATGAGACTCTAGAAATAATAGAAGAACAACAGGGACCATCAGGGTTCACTGTCCTGATTCAATGTGAGACATGAAAGGTGCAGCCTCCACATGAAATCCTGGGTTAGGTGGCCTGGGACTTTAAGTGGCCAGGGAAACTTTGAATGCATCACAGGAACACAGCATAACATTGAAATATTTATGATTTTCAAACCAGTTCTACCTGGACAATATAAACCCTCTGTCACAGTGGCTTCTACCTGCATCAATAGCTGCACACACATGCTTGAAAAACACCAAGAGAGAATCAAGAGATGAAAGTTATTTATAACTATTTTCCATATGCTAGAGTAACATTTAGCAATCTAAAAATGGCTTGGTAAAGACAAACTATTTGTCAGTTTGTGTTGTATTGCACTAAATAGTTAAGTATATTGTGATGGCCCCATTTGTGTATGCAGGAGCTGATAAAAGGCTGCTGAAGGTTTTCCCTAAATTGTGGATTTGCAGTCTGTGGTTTAATTTTATCACAACAAATGCAAACAGAGCAAAACATTTCCCAGACAAAAAGTGTTTTCCTTTTACATTCATAACCTTCCCTGTTAACTGCATAATACAGGTTTTCTCTCAAAAGGTGTTCCTGGATATATTCAAATAAAGTTCCATCACCACTGATGCCAATATATTGCCTAATTACCATTGTAGGGCTCTTTCATTCTATTTCTTGTCAAGCAGGTGAAATCAGGTGTTCACTCATTTAGCTGTTTGCTGGCTAGTGCTGAATCAAACAATTTGTTCAGAAACCACCTGCCTTCCTGCCATCTTCCAAGCACAGAAAGTTGTGATTCTCAGTTGGCTTCCCCTGCCTGAGTACTGGAAACATTCCCAAAGATTTTCATCTTTATTCTCTAGGGCCTTTTAGGGGGAAGTAGGGGGTAAAAAACCCAAAAAACAACAGGAGGAAGGAAAGTTATCCTGAGGATTTTTCCATAGTGAAGGAGGTCAGGAAGGGGTGGACTCCAATAAATTACTTCTCTCTCCCTGGGTAATCAGGAAAAATGAGCAGAAGTCCTTGCAGTGCTTCTTTAGAGGTCAAGAAGAAGGAAGGAAAATCCAAGGCCTCCCTGAGGAGCAGGAATTCCATCTACTGATGGAAAAATTGCAGATTGAAGATGTAAAACCTTATCTATTCCCATGTCTCTGAGGGTAAGGGCTTTGAATTTGATCCCTTCTGTTCCATATGTAAAAAAGTTAAAATATTAAACAATTTGTGAGATTGAAGGAGACTTCATATCACAGGTTTTGCTTCCTCAGGATTTGTTACCCATAGACCCAGCTGGGTACAAACCTGAAATCCCTGGTGTGTGTCATAAAGGGTGACAACAGAAAAACGCTGAGCTCAGCTTTTGGCCATTCAAACTCTTTGAATCAGAAACTAATGCAAAATGTCCACAGAAGATAAATGCTGCCCAGTAATTGCACTGATCAATTCACAATCTGAACAAAAGGTTTGGCAAAGAACAAGGGAGGAAAATCAAAGGTGTGTGAGACGTTTATAAAGTGATGAGTAAAGAAGCAAATTATTGAGCTGAGGGAAAAATGACCAGGCACTGGAAGAGGAGGCCAGGAGCATCAGTCAGAGGTGCTGGAAGGTCTTCATTGTGATGATATTAACTGAGAAAAGGTCAAACTGAGAGCAGAGGTGCAGGCTCTGTCTAATTGCAGATGTAGTTCCTGTCAGGGATGGGTGAGTGTGATCCTTGCTCCCAGCACCACATAAATGGTTTTAGGGACCAACATCCCACTCAGGGAGCAGTTCCTCATTCCCTGACCCACAGTGCTCCTTCCAAAGCCCAAGAGCAGTGAGGGGAATCCCCTGCCTGGGATTTTGCAGATTTTGGGACAGTGCCACCTCCAAGGAGCTCTGTTTCCCACAGAAGGAGCTCTGAGGACTGAGCAACTTGCAGGACTGGACAATCTCCTAGATGAGCTTCACCATGAGCTCATTTAATATGCCATAAAGGTCTCTGTGATAAATCAGGAGCCCATTCCATGAGGGAGGGAATGCTCATTTCCAGTGGGCTGGACTCATCCCTGCTGTGACTCCAGCACAGCTCCAGGAAGCTTCCACAGCCTCACTCCTCCTTCCCAGTCCAGAGTGAGTCATGGCTCCCTTAATGGGGAAGGATCTATTTTTCTTCTTAACTACTCCAAATGACACTCTATAAACTGGAAATATTATTTAGCTGTGCTTGTGGTTTCATCCCGAGAAGGAAATGAATGATGAATTGCAGCTCCATTTATTGCCCCATATAGAACTGCTCTGACTCTGAGGGTTGTTGGGAAGAAAAATTAAGCTATCAAAATTGAATTAAAAGGTCAATAAATAGAAAAATAAATCGATGAAAGCAAACAATTTTACCCCTGCTGATGAAATGGGCTGCAGATATGTCATGTTATGATATCCATTGGTTAGCATATCTTGATTAAGAGAGCAATAAATATTGATGATACAGATAAAGAAATGGCAGGGGCAGTTTAAAGAGTTTAAAGATTTTTCCTCCCAAATGTCTGTGGGAGAAGGGGAGGAGTTAAGGCATATGGGTGGGATTAACCCATGAAGAAACAAGGGGGGATTTCCAGGCTGTATTGGTGGGCAGGGAAATGTGGGCTGAGTGTCTGAAACGTTGACAGGATGGAACTGGTTTGTTACTTGAAGTAATGATGCATCTGAACTATTTTGTGGGTATCCACAATTTATGGGGGGGGGGGGTCCTGTAAAAGAAGTGAATTTATTTCAAATCAAAATTGAAAACTAAGGGCAGGGGCAGAAATAACCTTCAGAAGCAGAAATCTGTGGCTTTGCCCCCCCCGATTTTTTGTTCTGTTTTTGTCAGCCCAGTGTGTGATGCATGCAGATACATTTGGGACACATTGCTGTCAGAACTTTGTTCTCATGCAGTTGGACTTGAATGTTTCTTGGCTGGCTGATAGCAAGCCTTGAGTTTATCACACACTGGCACAGCATCAGTGTCTGGGGAGCTGCCATCCCTCCCCTCAGTGCTGAGAGCAGGGTCCTGCTCCACAGGGCCAGACGTGTGCTCATCATTCACATCACATCACACAGGGTGCACAACTGACTGAAACGTGATTGCAAGAGCAGAAATCCTTCTTTCATTGACTGAAGATCACTATTCAAAACACCATGGAAGGATTCAGCCCTGAAACCAGCTGATACTCACTCAGTTTACCTTCTGATTCATCCCTGTGTTGCTAGCTCCCTTTTTGTCTGGCTGAAGAGCTGGAGGAGATGAAAAGATCTGTGCTGCATCTGCTTCTCCAACCAAACCAACAAACTATGTGAAGCTTTTCCCAGGATTATAATCCTTTTATAGTAATCCCTGTGAAAAGGCACCCAAGGCAGATGATAAATCAACAGGCAGGCTTTGAAGCACGTGACTGTCAGATATCCAGGGGTAACTGGATGCCAAGCTGACAGTACAAAGAGATTTAAAACTATCCAAAAGAAATGCTGATTTAGCATATCCTTCCTGATGGGGGGACCACCTCAGGAACTCACTCCTATGATGCTGTGCTGTGCAGCAAGCCACTGGAGATGGGTTTTTCCCCTTCCATCTGTAGGATATAATGAGTTATGAAGCCCTTTTTCCTCAGACTAGGACTGGCAGGAGTAGTAAAGCACTAAATTAATCTAAAGAGGAAACAACTTTGAAATCAAAACCAAGCAGGGGCTGCAGCAGCTCCACAAGGTCAGGGTATAAATAGGAAGTGGTTGTTGTGGTCCTGCTCCTCTGCATTATTATTTGTAATTGCAATTATTATTTGTAATGCATTACTACATTGCATTATTATTTGCAATGTGTTGTATGAGGTCTTGCATTGCATTCAGAAAATGAGTTTTAGGTCAGTGACCAGCAGCCAGCAGCCTCCATTTCAGTGAAGTGCAACCTCAGGAAGGCTCTGCTGCTCCAGAGAAAGCTTCCCAGAAAATGGGCCAGCACACAGCATGAGCTGATTGAAATTCATGAAATTATTCATTAATTGATACCAGAGCACAGTAAGCACGAAGTAGAAGCAACTCCAAAGCAAATAACTCTGAGAGATGCAGCAGGGCAGGGGTGAGCCCTCATGGGCATCAGTCCCACCCTGGGAGCAAACTCTGCTCAGGTCCTGCTTTGGTGCAGAGGAGAAGTGCCATGACAGACTGGGCTGGATGGCCATTCCTGAGGATGGGATTTTTACAGAAACATAGGTCAGGTGGGGTTATCCTTCCCCCAGTGCTCTCATGGGGCTGCCTGGATCCAGCTGCTGCTCATCCTCTGCCCATCCTGCTGTTCAGGATCATCTACAAAGCTAAATCAGAGAATCTTATAATGGTTGGGGTTGGAAGGGATCTAAAACAAATCATCCAATTCCAAGTCCCTGCCATGGCAGGGAACCTCCCTCCAGGCTGCTCCAGCCCCAGTGTCCAACCTGGCCTTGGGCACTGCCAGGGAGCCAGGGGCAGCCCCAGCTGCTCTGGGAATTCCATCCCAGCCCCTCATTTCCATCACAGGAAACAATTCCTTCCTAATATCCAATACAGGCCTTCCTTCTATCAGTGTGAAGCCATTCCCTGGGTGCTGTCCCTGCATCCCCTGGAAATTGTCTCTCTGCAGCTTTCCTGGGGCTCCTGCAGGCCCTGCAAGGCCACCCTGAGCTCAGCCCAGAGCTTCTCCTGTGCAGGTGAACAATCCCAGCTGTGCCAGCCTTTCCTCCCAGCAGAGCTGCTCCATCCCTCTGCTCATCCTGGAGCCTCCTCTGGGCTCTCTGCAGCAGCTCCAGCTCCTCCCTGGGCTGGGCCCAGGCCTGGGGCAGCTCTGCAGGTGGGGAATCACCTGAGCAGGGAACAGGGGCACAATCCCCTCCCTAAATCTCCTGTAGCATTGCCCCCAAATTGCCCCAAAACTGTCTCCTTCCACAACACTGCTGGATGAACTTTCTAATTCATGTCTTTTTTCCTTTAGCAAATCTGGTGCAATAGAATATTTTTCTGCAGCAAGTTCTGGGAAATATTCTCACCTCAGCATCTTGCTAAACATGGGGTACAAACCATGACCTGTTTCAGGGAGTTTTAGAGACAGGATGTTCTTGGGCCCCCTCTGAAACTTTCTGGTTACTCATTATGCTACTGGTTCTGTATCCTTTATTCTCACAGACCACAGTATGTGGGAATATTTCCTTTCCACAAACAGAAAACTTGCCTTTGGCATTTTTTTTTTTCAGATTTTTCCCCCCATTCTATTTGAAAATTTGTTATTTTGGTGAGGGAGCTAGTAGAGAGCTCCTCTGCTTAACACTGAGGTCTTTGGGCAAGAAATTAAGTGCAGCAGAGGGATCTTGGCAAAGGTCCTTGAACAGAGCCAGGCAATGCTGTTACTTCCCAAAGTACCTCTCCTCTCTCCAAAAATAAACAGTAAAGAAGGGTAAATTTAGAAAACAGCAGCATGTTCTGGCTACAAGAAGGGATGGGAGGGTGGAGAAAGAGAGTTGTGTTTAAAACAGAAGGCAGCTGTCTCATGAAATGCTCCTAGGATGGTTAAATTTATCCCACAGTGGTGCTGGGGCTCATTAAATACCAGAGATGTGTTGTCCACATTTGTTATCTAACATTTGCCTCCATCTGTTATTCAATAATGTATATGTACCAAATGCATTATTGAAGATGTTTAATACTGGAAGAATACCAGAGCAATGCAGACTGTACATGATTAATGCTCCAGAAACAAACCTCAGGAAAATTGGTCAGTAGTTAGAGAGCCGAGTTTGCCTTGATAAAACATTTCACTGAGAAAAACAGTGAAATTTCCATTAATTTCCAAGGCCTTGAGACCAGGTGAGGAATTACAGGGAGGAGGTGTTGCTACTACATTCAAAAATCCACAGTTTTTGTTATCCAGACGCATTTGAGAGCGAATTTTTCCTTGTCTTTTCCTCTGCAGTGATATTTTGTAAAAGCACAGGAGTAATTAGGACTGGGGATGCACCTGCACTTGTTTCAGGTGAAGGAGGAGAAGCTTTCCAAGGCTGCTCTGCTTTTCCATCTGCCCTGCTCTGATCCCACCAGGGACAGTGTGAGAACGGGCTGCAGTCAGTGGCAGTGGAATCCTGGCTGTCTTGGGAAGTTTAAAAAAAGCCTGGCTTGGATAAACACTGAGACACTGAGAGTGATCTTCCAGCCACGTGAAGTGCTGCTGTGCTGTCATTTCTGATGGATTTGGAAAGCAAATATTCAGATTTTTTACAGCTTTACAGGTTCCTTTAGGAGAACCAGGGGAGAAAACCCCAACATCACCTTTTACTTAAGAGCACCCAGGCTGCAGAGGCCACAAGAAGTTCTCAGGCAGCCTGAGAGCAGATCATGAATTCCCAGACCTGCCAGCAGCGTGGTGCATGTGGAGCTTTTGTTTCACGCTGCTTCTCGTGCTTTCCTTTGTGCTTGGATTGTGAGTGGGTTGCTGGTGATAGATTTCGTTTTGCTGTCATGCTCTGGGGTGAGGGGTTGGCAGGTAACCTCCTGAGAGCCCTTGTGGGACTGCTTTTCTGGGATTTCTTTCAGCTCTCTCACTGGTTCTGCTCTCCCCTAGGTGCGGCCTCAAAGGCGTCCTGATTATCCCATCAGCCCAAAGAAAATCAGGAATGTGACACTCGTGTAGGATGTGCTTCTCCAAGAAGTTGCTTTTTCACATGTTTGGATGCCTTCATGCAATGCAGAAAAGTTAAAACCAGCTCTCTCAGTTTAACTTTTAAGTTATTTTTCTTTTTTTTTTTTTTTCCTCATGCAATGAAATAAAACTGCAACCTTTATAACACAGCACATGATATCACAGCAAAATAATGGACATAAATGATATAAATAGACTGCCCTAATTTCCAAGACAATGAGTTTGATGGGACTGTGGAAGAAGAATCCACATTTTGGGTCCCCAAGAAATCAGCAAAACTGTCAGACAGGAATGTTGTGTTACAGCAAGATCGAGGACTGGAAATGCAACATATTTATTATTTCAGAAAAACTGGTTAATATAATAATAATGGTTAATATACAATATCTATGCTTTTAAACATATTTTATGTACAGCCTGAGCTATGATCATCTTGAGCTTTCAGATCAACAACATTTTCCCATTCCCATTCTGTAATAAAATCAAGGGAAGTTTTCATGGGGGCTGCTTCAAAATTTCTAACAAAACTATCTTTGGATCAGAAATGACATTTCTCCATTTCAACACATTATTTTATGAGACGTATTTGCCTTGAAATTCCATTTCAAAATAAAATCCAATCACCCATGTGCCAAAAAAAAACCTTTTAAAAAAAATTGAAATTCAAATAGCTTAAGCTGAAAAATGTAGATTTGAAACTCTTGACTTTGAAGAGTTGTTGCTTGAATGTTTTATGTCTCTGTTCTACTTATGGGCTGAGTTGTGTCACAGCAATGGTGGCTTCTGGAATTCAGTCTGAACAGTGTTTTTTCCTCAGGGATAGAGCTGATAATGACCATGGGAAATGCACTTTAACAAAGAAGCTTCTCAGCAGAGCAGATCCAGCACATGACCATATCTAAAACTGATGATATGTTCTGTCTGAAATTTTCTATTTCATAATAAAAAAGTTCAATCTTAATTTTTTTTTTTTTTTTTTTTTACAAAAAGGCAAACTTCTTCCAGAAAAACAAGATATTTTCAGTGTACTCTTCTTCCTTCCCACTCAAAGAATTCTGAATTATTCAGTGTGTCTCACGTTAATCTTTGGTACAAACGTGCTCTTGAAAGAAGCCCTTGCTTCAAATCCCTTCCAGTGACACTCTGTGCCACAAAACTGAGGAATGTGAAACCTGAACTCAGGAAGGAGAAGTTGTTTTGCATGTTTAGCATTTGGTATCTCCTTAATTCGTGCCAGATTTTGTGTGCTGGTGACATTTTCAGCCAGTCTGTCAGAACAAGTGCAGGGTCTGCCATGTGCTGTTTGTTCACAAAGCTGTTTCAAATTCTGACCATCTACTGCCTTTCTATCTCACTTACCTAAGGAAGAGCTTTGAAATGAATTTTTTAATGCTACACAGACAAAAACATAGGCAATTTACATTGTGGTATATTGAAATTGTGCTTGAAAATATTCTTATTTTGAATTAAACACTCGTGTTGAAAAACATCTACCTTATTCTGATACAAGGATTCCTATTGCTGACATTTCCTTGTTACCAGTCTAGCTGAAAGCAATCTAAACACAGTCAAAAATCCACTTTATTAGAGGAATGTCCACTGCATGAGAGAGGGAGACCCAGGGTAACACCAGCCTGGGACTTGAGGGGGTAAAAACCTCCTCAAGGAGCTTTGGCTTTCTGTTCATGTGCATTGTTAACAGGGTCTGCTGGTTGTCAGAAAAGTAAAAATAATCTCTAAACTCTACGGAGACAGTGGTTTCCCAGTAGGAAGTGTTGGTTCATTGGGATACATTTTGCAAAGGGTTCAAGCTGTACTCCTTTGTTTATCTCCAGGCCCTTATTTTCAAGTGTAGCTTTGATATTATTTGGTGTCATAGCAAAGCAGCCAACCTAGGACTGAAGAAAACCTTTTCTCCACTTAATCTGGATCCTTCCACATTAATCAAACACATTTCTGTGTTGGTGCCATGGGCCAGAGGACACAGACTGTGTCAGCAGCAAGGAGATTTCTGTGCTTGGGAGTCCCCACTGAGATTCCCAGGCTGCGCTTCCAGGTGCTCCAGGCTCTTCAGAGGACACCAGCAGAGCTCCCAAAATTGGTTTGCAGGCTGTGGCTGGGCCAAAGGGCTCCCTGGCACTTCTGATGGGTGAACAGTCTGAGGAGAGAAGGTTCTGATGCCCTTGTGAAGAGCAGAGGCTGGACAGAGCTAAAGAATAAAGCAGGGATTTATTCAGAGGCCTCAATGGATGCACCTTGGGCAGCACAACCAAAAATGGCCACAAAAACGGACAGCTGGGCACGGGGTCTGTCCCTGGGATCAGTTCTGCTCCATTTGCACCTTGCAGTTCATTGTCCCATCCCAGCTTTAGCCCCTGCAGTCCCACCCTGCTTGTTTTTCTCTCTCCAGCCCACGGGGTTTGTGCTCTGGGGCTGAGATTTGGATCATTTGTCCTTGGTGCCCAGCTGGAGCAGGAATTGTTTTGTCTCCCTGCTCTGTGCACAGAGCTCACCATCCCAGAATATGAAGCTCAGCCCCACACACTAAAGCAGCACAGAATGTGAAAAATAGAAAAGCTCAAACCTGAGGCATCAGTTGGAGACTTCATACCAACCTTTAGTACCTGAAGAGGGGCCCCAAGGGGTCTGGGAAGAGATCCTTCATCAGGAATTGTAGTGACAGGACAAGGGGGAATGGCTTCCAACTGACAGAGAGCAGGGTTGGATGGGATATTGGGAAGGAATTGTTTCATGGGAGGGTTGGAACTCTTGATTAAGAGAGCAATAAATATTGCTGGTACAGATAAAGAAATGGCAGGGGCAATGGAGAAGCTGGGGCCGCCCCTGGATCCCTGGCAGTGCCCAAGGCCAGGTTGGACACTGGGGCTGGGAGCAGCCTGGGACAGTGGGAGGTGTCCCTGCCATGGCAGGGGTGGCACTGGATGAGATTTAAGGTCCCTTCCAACCCAAACCATTTTAGGATTCTCTGTGAGGCTCCAAACCTGGGAACCACATGGGAGCCCCTTCCCTGCTGCCAGCTCTGAGCTGCCTCAGTCAGACATCAGGGACAGCCCAGACAGGTCACCCTCCAGCTGTGCATCCTGCCTGGCAGCTGGAAAAGTGCTCCAAGGTGCCACACTCTCCTCAGGAACCACCAGGAAAATGCCCCTGAACATCCCACAGCAGCAGGAGGCATTAACAGCCCCTGACTGCACCTCTTGGCCACTCAAGCAAACAAAGCTTTTTGCACAAACAGGTACCACAGCCGTGGAAACTGCACATTAACCAGAGTCTGGAGCTCTTCTCCCTCCCTGCCAGCTCAAGGAATGCATCCCACACAGCTCTGGAACACTCCTGACAGCACAGGGACGAGGTTAAAAAATTCTCATTGCGTCCTTGGGATTTATGGTTGGGGGCATTTATTTCCTTCCAGATTTGTTTGTTTGGGCATGTTGTACAGCCTGTATATCATCTCCAGTACTAGCTGTTACTTATGTTTGCAAATAGAGCTCCACAAATAACAATACATAAAATACAGAGACAATTTTCAGCTCACAGGGAATATAAACTATACAGGCACTTTCAGAGGGCACAGTAGACTAAAAATATTGAATTTCAGGCACTTTATGGAGACACCAATCTTTTGTATGCATGCATATTGATTTATAATTATGACTTGAGGGACATTTTAGTAATCTAGAAGTATCCAGCTTTTTACAGCTCACAGACTGTGCACAGTTTGATAATATAAAACCCTTCCCTGTTTCCTTAGAAAATCTTCTCATTTGAATTCCGTGCTTGTATACACAGGGAAAAAATGCACTGAAGATAAACAGTATTTCATGCCACAGTAAGGTTTCCTAAACTTGTCTCACCCGTTTAGTGTTTCACAGAAAACTCAGGCTACCTTTAATACAAAACCACTTAAAAATAACACTTGGCTTCACAGGGAGGTTTCTTGTTTCAACAGAATGCACCTCAGGTTTGTGTGGGCTGAGTGGAATCAACAAATGAACTCTTACTGAAGAGTACTCACAATATTGACTGAACAGTTGGTTTCTTACTGATCTGATTGAACAGAGCCACAATTTTCAATATTTATTTGGTAGAATGTACGATATATGGTGCTGCTGAGGTAAAATGCAGCATTTTTGAGGATTTGGGCCTCCCAGTGACATAGATGGGAATAGCTCTTTGGTTGCAAGGCTCACCATCCCTTTCCTCCACAGGATCCTGCATGAGGCAGGAAAAACACAGCTTCCTACCAAATTCCCCAGCAAAAACTCATGGAAAACTGGAATATGGTCTCCTTAAAGTGTCAGAGATATCTCATTTTCCCATCCCTCATTCTCTACCCAAACAGATTTTCCCCATCCAAAGTGGGGAAATTAGGCCCATTCTCCCTCTCTCTGAGTTTCTCTAAATCCCACACCCACATGTTGAGTTTGTGAGGTCCCCAGGACGAAGGAGGAATTGAGAATCTGACTCCATGTTCTCAGAAGGCTGATTTATTATTTTATGATATTATATTTTATTAAAGAATGCTATACTAAAACTATACTAAAGAAAGAGAAAGGATGCAGAGAGAAGGTGTAACAAGAATGATAATGAAAAACTCATGACTGACTCCTCAGAGTCCAACACAGCTGATGGTGATTGGTCATTAAGTAAAAACAATTCACATGAAACCAATCAAACAATGACCAGTGGGTAAACAATCTCCAGCCACATTCCAAAGCAGCAAACACAGGAGAAGCAATCAGATAATTCTTGTTTTCATTCCTCTCTGAGGCTTCTCAGCTTCCCAGGAGAAGAAATCCTGGCAAAGGGATTTTTTATGACAGAGACACCCACATTCCCAACAACACCATATAATTAATCCAGTGGCCTCATGGTAAGCGTGTAAGTAAAATTAAGCAATCAGGATAGACCAAAGTGGGCTCATATTTTCAAGCTATAACAAAACCCAGCCAACCTCAGCTGCCAGGGGG